AGAGATGAGATGTACTGTGATGGAGATTTACCAGTTTAATAATTATGCGTATCTTCAGGATTACAAACCTTTGAGAATATGGTTACATTCACAATTGGGACCAGAATTTCCGTTGTTAAGCAAAGTACTTATTAAGTGCCCAATCTTACAACATTTTTTTTTTGCCATGATTTCAAGTGAATCATATCATTAAGCAAATCTGGCTTTCTCCATTGACTTGGCTTGTTAGACACCCACTGGGAAGGGTCAATGACAATTCACCATGGCTAACTTGCCGTGTGATGGCTAAATACAGCATATGAGTTACACTAATATCAAAGAAATGGTGGAATAGAATCATTAAAGAAAGGATGAAAAAGGCCAGACAAAATGAAACATGAATGACAAAAATTTATATATATATTTAATTTTAAATAATTAAATTGAATTGTTAAATTGTCCAATGGCGAGTTGGCCACAGTGAATTGGCTATGGTGTGTTGGCAAAGATTTGGCCATGATAAGGTATCCCATTCTGAACTGAAAAGTTCACAGTCATCATTTGATCACAGGTTACTACAACCATTGTAAATATATCCCAGTTACCAAGTGCCCAAATTCTGAACATGTAACCGAGGTTGCTATGAGAGTGCTCAATGTGAAGACTGGACATAAACATTATTTTTTTCAATGTCATAATTTCAAATGATTAGGTTTTAACTCAAGAATTACCTTTATTATAAATGGTAGATAGTAACTGTGATCTATTCAAGCAAAGTAGCTGATACTTCAACAGGCTTCAGCAGGTAATTATGCACAATGGACTGGGCACTTCGCCTTGCCAGTTAAGATTCATTTAAAATTACCCAAATTCTTGAGAAATCTTTCAAATCTTCTGTTCAAAGCTCTTTAGCTGCCATGTGATTTTTTAAGAAGATTGCTGGAATCTCACAAGAATTTGATGAATATTTACATTTGGATACCATCTTGAGGAATCGAGAAAGCTTTGACACTTGCAGGTATTAATTGAGATCATTTATGGTTTAGCAAGATCTGGAAACCCCCCAAACATTCCCCCTTACCATCTAAGCAATCTTAGGAAGGAAGAATAATAGAATAGTTGTGGAGTTATGCTATTTATTGGGACAAAGCTATAGGAAAGTATTCTTTCTCAGTTGCTTTTCAAGCAAGCAATTTTAATTAATTTCCAAGTTTTGAAGAACGTCAAGCATGTAATACTGGAAGATGCAGTTTGGTTTCTATCAAAGGTTTGTAGTTCATACTGGCATAGACACAATTGTATGGAATGCTAATATTACACTAATTGGAAGACATGTTGAGATGGCTATTCATTGATGGTCATTGAGGTTCTTCTTCTATTCCTCCTTTATATTTCTCTTCCTCTTCCTCCTTCCCTTTCATATTCCTCCTTCTCTTTTTCTTCTCCTTCTCCTTCCTCTCCTCCTCCTTCTCCTCCTCCCACCCCCTTCTCCTCCTCCTCTTCCCTCTTCCCCCCAGCAGTCTAGCTCCTATGAGAGTTTGGGTGGAAATGCTATCTTTTTCCAGCCTATTCTATTTGAATTGTCCTTCTGAGAAGATGTTTTCCAGGTTTGAGATACAAGATTATCAATTAGCAACAATTATATATTTTTTTCAGTTTCAGTAATGTAATTGGGAGCCAAAAAGATGCTGCTGCTTCTTCTGCATCCACTGTGACCAAAATCAGTCCAAACTAAACAACACCGTGTTCTCTTTAAAAGAATATTTATTTCCCAATTTCTTTTATTCCCCCTCCCCCATGGACAGTGATAGGATTACAGTATGTAACAAGGACCCCTCCCCCAAAGTACACAAATGATTAAAATATTTTGTTTCAACTAAAACAAAATCCACAATAACTATTATATACTTATGGCTCAGTGGTTATCGAAACAAATACCTGGAAGAGAGAAAACTTAGATGATCATCATTCCCAGATACAAAAACTCAGTCAACCAGGAAACTGGAATTATTCCAAAATTCTTCCCTCTTTCTCTTCTGAGAAATGAATTGTTCTTCAGAGCTGCTGCTTAACTTCCATTCTCTACTTAAAAATCAAGAGAAAGCCATATTAATTCATTTTGAATTCTAGAACACATGCTCTCAGTCCTGTGGCAACTAGTTAAAAAGTTCCTTCTCCTAGTAACTGCTCCTAACCTTTACATCTTCTAATCTAAACCATGGAATCTAGATCAATATTTGTCAATTTTAAGAGGCATGAATGTCAGTTTCCAGGATTCCCCAGCCAGGAATTCTTCTCTCGAATACAAGCGCATCTTCCTCAGAAGAAGAGCTTGCATCAGAACTGAAAGTTCCTTTGCATCTAGTCTCTATAAAAATGAAAACGGGAAACTATAAGGCAGCGTCCAGGAATAGCATCGACAGAAAGTCCTTAATGTGTATGACATAACGGGCTGTTGCTTTGCTATGCCTTGAAACTATTTTGCTTTGCTGCTGGATAGGTGCACCCGAGCTAAGCAGTCAACAGAGGAGATGAGGAGATTTGCTTTTAGAAACATCTCAAGATCTCATTTCACATTTGGAACATTGGCCTGTTGAAAATGTTTCCAAGTTGGACTGTAAATATAGTCTTTTCTTTTCAAAGAAAAAGAGTATTTTTTTTGGTTTTTGTGCGTTTCTTACAGCATGTGGAAGTTGATTCTTTTTTGGAGTTTCAAATATCTTTTTTTTTTTTTTGTATAACCCCACAGAATGCTTTAAAGATATCTTGGATATTCCAACCAATACAGAGGGAAAGAAGCAAGGGTGGGATTCTACAGGTTCGAACCGGTTGTATAGAACTGGTTGTTATGATTCTGCACAGTTTGGAGAACCGGCAAATCGTGCCCCTGGCTGGCCCCGCCCTTCTACACCCTGCCCCTCCCTTCCCTGACCAGTCAGTCCTTATCGCACATGTGCAACATTGCACGCATGCCCAACATTGCTGACTGTGTTCTTCCCCGGCCAGTTACTCCTTAAGGTATTTCTTTTTTCCCTCTCCCGACGATCAGCTGTTCCTATGATCAGCTGTGCTGGGATTCCCCTTGCTGTCTTACTGCTTTGCCCAGGAAACTTCCCTGAGGTCCAGGAGGCAAAAAATGGAGGCAGGGCATAGCCTCCCCACCCCTCCTCCATTTTTATCTTCCTGGGCCCCAGGAAAGCTTCCTGGGAGCAAAAACTAAGGCTTCCCTGAGGCCCAGAAGGCCCAAAACTGGAGGCTTCCCTGAAGCCCAGAAGGCCCCCAAAATGGGAGGGGGGTTGCTTCAAAAAAAGCCATGCCCACCCAGTCACATGACTGTGCCCAGCTAGCCACGCCCACAGAACCGGTTGTTACAAAATTTGAACCCCAACCCTGGAGAGAAGATTACAGGAAATCCTCGATTTACAACCATTTATTTAGTGACTTACAATAACACTGGGGGGCGGGGGGAAGGAACTTAAGATCAGTCCTTAGTCACAGCAGTGTCACAGCAGCCTTAAAGTTTATGATCAGAATTTGAGTGCTTGACAATCAGTATGTATTTATGACAGTTTCCTGGGTCAGGTGATGTCCGTTTTTTATCTTCTCAGCCTGCTTTTCAGACAATCAAATGCTGGGGGGGGAGCAGGAGGCCAGATTCATTTAATAACTGCACCATTCACTTAACAACCGCTGTGATTTGCTAAACAACCATGGCAAAAAAAGATTGTGAAATTGGTTGCAACTCACTTAACAATCCCCTTGCTTAGCAATGGAAATTCTGGTCTCATTTGTGGTTGTAAGTCGAGGACTGCCTTTAAGTCTAGCTTGCTGGCTGCCAGCTCAACAGCTGCTTTCATTGGGCAGGTTCCCCTGAGAAAGATGATTATTTACAATAGGAGCTCAAAGAGCTGAGGTTTTTTTTCTTTATCAAATGTAGTTCTGTCTGGCCAATGATGTTGAGAAACCCAAAATTCATTTATGCACTTCTCATGACTAGTGCTTGAAAGGGGGTACCAAGCAATTCCAGGGCAACAAAAATATAAATTTAAGCAGCAATCACCCCAGTGTTGTCCTGCACAACTGTTTACGCTTCTTCCAGTCTCCTGTGGAACTCTCAGCAGGGACTGATACCTTTAAAAATATGCAGAAGTAATATGCATACTTGGGGAAGCAATGTAGGGAAAAAGTGTGTGTTAGGGAAAGTATGGTACACGGTTGTGATGTTTTTAAATTATTGGTGAACACACACACGACAGAATGGAATTGTTTTCTCAAGTATAAAACACACTAAGCTAGATTCCAAGTTGGCCTTAAGCATGTGTAAAAATGGCACCGATGCCTATTCCCATGTAAAGCAGCTATTCTTTTCTTGTGTGTTTCTCAATGTATCTTTAGATGTTCCCTCCATCCAATTTGATACGTTCTGCAAACCTGTTTCTTAAAAATCTCTTTCTCTGCCCCTTCCAATAGCATTGGTTGTTTGGAATTCAGTTCCCAAACCCTGGACCACACAATATATAAGCAATGTCTGGGCACCAACCTACGATTCACCCATCAAGAAGCAGCACTTTAGTTCAACAAACTAGCAATGTTGGCCTCCTTCGTAACACTGGGGATGTATTAGATTCAAGAACGTTAGCAAGTATTGTTCTAGCTCGTTTTTCCTTTGAAATTTATGCCATATCTGGGAGGCTCATGCACTAGTCTTTAAACTCTAGTTTGTTATATTCTAGTCTGTCATTTTCTAGTCTGTCATACTCTAGCCCAGGGGTCTCCAACCGTGGCAACTTTAAGCTTTGCTGGCTGGGGAATTCTGGGAGTTGAAGTCCTCCAGGCTTAAAGTTGCCACGGTTGGAGACCCCTGGGCTAGCCTGTTTCTTCATGTGAAACACAACCCCCAGATAGGTGCTTGGCAGTGCCAGCTGGGCACTAAGCAAAATGAGGTTTGGTAAGGTTGAGCTCCAGTTGCTGATCGTGAGTTTTCCTGGCTTGCTATTCATGCTGCTCATCTCCTCCAGTTTTCACTCAAGTTCCATCGTTTCCCGTGGCCCTCCATTTTCCTGATGGAGCACACATCCCACTTTGTTGTTGAAAAGGCGAGGTAGGCTCCCCTTATGGAAATGTCTACCCTGGATAGACCGTTCCTTCAAACGACACTTGCTCCGCTTACAAATCTGCCGGATGTCCCAGATCCTCAGCGTGCCATCATGGGAAGCTGTGTACAATAATTCATTGTGAATCTGGAACAACAGGGGCATACTTAGACTGTTTAGCATTGACAGTCACAACACGAGACGGAAGCAAAGACAGAGACTTCTTGCTTTCAAAGCAGAGGGGATTGTGTGGAGACAGGGTTCGATCCAGTTTCAATCAATACGTACAACCCAAGAAAAATCTAAAGTCATCCAACGCCTCATGTACAAGGAGGAACTAACATTAGAAAAGTATGGGCGATTGTACTTCCTTAGCACTTTTTTTTAAACTGTAGGAGTTATTTAATGAAATAAAGTAAAAAAAAAAGCTAGGGAAGAATTTATAAATAGTACTGTGGGGTCCTTGGTGCTCTCTGAGCTTGATGGTTTTCTTGCAGATATTTTATTACCCAACTAGGCAACATCATCATTGCTGATAGAGGGGTTTGCTCTGTTTATATATAGAATAGAATGGAATGGAATGGAATGGAATGGAATAGAATTGAAATAGAAATGGAATAGGAATAGGAATAGGAATAGGAATAGGAATAGGAATAGGAATAGGAATAAGAATAGAATGGAATGGAATGGAATGGAATGGAATGGAATGGAATAGAATAGAATAGAATAGAATAGAATAGAATAGAATAGAATAGAATAGAATAGAATAGAATAGGAATAGGAGTAGAATAGAATATTGAATAGAATAGAATATTGAATAGAATAGAATAGAATAGAATAGAATAGAACAGAACAGAACAGAACAGAACAGAATAGAATAGAATAGAATAGAATAGAATAGAATAGAATAGAATAGGAATAGGAATAGGAATAGTAGTAGAATAGAATAGAATAGAATAGAATAGAATAGAATAGAATAGAATAGAATAGAATAGAATAGGAATAGAATAGGAATAGGAATAGGAGTAGAATAGAATATTGAATAGAATAGAATATTGAATAGAATAGAATAGAATAGAATAGAATAGAATAGAATAGAACAGAACAGAACAGAACAGAACAGAACAGAATAGAATAGAATAGAATAACAGAGTTGGAAGGGACCCTGGAGGTTTTCTAGTCCAGGTGTCAGCAACCCACGGCTCTGGAGCTGCATGCGGTTCTTTGGGCCCTCTGCTGTGGCTCCCTGTTGGGTGATCCCACCACTGGCTGGCCCCACCCCTCGCCCTCCCCTCCCAGTCACTCCTCGCCTCGCCTGAGAAGCTAAAACTCAAAAAACAGTAATGAGAGGGAGGGAGGGAGACCCATTTCCTACAGAAAACACCAGGAGCCACAAAACCTGGGTAGGCATGGGGTGTGTGTCTGTGTGTCATGTGACTGAGTGGGAGTGACATTGAGTTGGGGTTTTCAGGCTCCCAGTGTTTTCTTTTCTGTGGGACATGGGTCCAAATGGCTCTTTGAGTGTTTAAGGTTGCAGATCCCTATCTAGTCTAGGGATCTAGACTATCTAGTATCTAGTCTAAACCCCTGCTTAGGCAGGAGACCCTATAGCATTTCAGACAAATGGTTATCCACTGTCTTGTTAAAAACTTCCAATGTTGCAGCATCCACAACTTCTGGAGGCAAGTTGTTCCACTGGTTAATTTTTCTCACTGTCAGGAAATTAGTCCTAAGTTGCTTCTCTCCTTGCTTAATTTCCATCCGTCGCTTCTTGTCTTGCCCTCAGGTGCTTTGGAAGATAGCTTGACTTCCTCTCCCTGAGATATTGGAACACTGCTATCATGTCACCCCGGTCCTTCTCATCAGACTAGACATACCCAATTCCAGCAACCATTCTTTATATGTTTTAGCTTCCATCCCCTAATCACCTTTCTTGCTCTTCTCCTTTCTGTATAGATAATTTCCTCCATCAGTGAGCAAAACTCTCTTCCTTCTCACACTGATGATGTTACCTAGCTTGGTAATGAAATGTCTGCAAGAAAAACACCAAGCTCCGAGGGCACCAAGGGCTCCACAGTTCAACCCTAAGCTACAAATATTTTCTTCTCTTGATACATTTTTGTAATAAACATTATGGATGAAAGGGCAATCTTTATGAGTATCTAAAATGAAATGGCCTTATGAATATTTCGGACCGAAGTTATATCAACTGATTCACCCATAGTAAAATCAGAGGATTTGAAAAGTTGACAGCTTACCTGGATGCAGTTAATAACCAACTTATGACCCCGAAACACTCTTTGCAGAATGCCAGTCTTTGTATTAAAAGCCCGAGCACAAGTATCACCACTTCCAGTAAACACTGATGAGAAAAAAATAAGGATTCAGATTATCTTACACTATGCATTTCTTAGAAAATGTGTGTCCCATTACATTATAGTCCCAAAGGATCAGAGAACAGCTATGGTGGTGCAATGGTTAAAATGAAGTATTGCAGGCTAATTCTGCTGACTGCAAGAAGTTTGAATCTCACCAGGCTCAAGGTTGATTCAGCCTTCCAACCTTCTGAGGTGGGTAAAATGAGGACCCAGATTGTTGGGGGCAAGAGGCTGACTCTGTAAACCACTTAGAAAGGGCTTGAAAGCACTATGAAGTGGTACAAGTGCTATTGCTATTGTTATTGCTATCAGCCTACTACATAAAATGGAAAATAAATAAGGGAAACAATATAAATATAATCTATAGCTCTATCAAAGATCAAAATTAGGGACAAAGCAAAATAAGAAGCAAATGAGCTGGTAGAACAAAAGTAGAGAACAAAATTGATGAAATATTAAGTCTTTTGGATTACCTAAACTCAAATCTATATTGTGAATAGGGTAAAATATAACTTCCTACAAATAGGAGAATATATACAGTTCTTTAGCTGTTGAAATAATCCTTCCACAAGGGACACATTTTGTAGGTATCAATGAAATTCATGTGAAGGGAATTCCAAATCCATTTTGGGGGAATGAGTCCTGTGTTCATTTTAGTTAATTTTCATCCTTTATAAAGCTTTAACTTGGCTGACAATATTTTTATTCTAGGAAGTTGTAGTACTACCTCAGCTTACAACTGTGATTGAGCCTGTAATTTTAGTCATAAGATGTGACAGTTGTAAAGTAGGTGACCAAATGAATGTGCCTGATTTTACCACCTTTTTGTAGTAGTCATTAAGCAAACCGGGAGGGGACCGATGTCCCACTTAGAATACAGGTCACAACAAGTAGCTTTTTCAGGGTCCATCATAACTTGAATGGTTGCTAAGCAACTGCTTCTAGGCCAAGGACTACCTGTATTGGAAATGTACTTGTTTTTTTCAGACAACCATGCCTAGTTACCGTACACTGACTCATAATACTGTACTACGAATTGAAACTATAATCAAGGAAATTGCCATTAATTGTAAGTACAGTAATCCAACGTGATATACAAAACTAATTAACCGTATGCTGGAATTAGTATTTAAAGTGACTTTTTATTTTATTGCTAACATGAAAAGCCCAATAATGATGGTGTTAAATGTCTAATTAAATTCATTATATAGAAACACTTTAATAAGAACAAAACAGGAATTAGTACTTTTTGCCACAGACAACAATGGAATTTCCTTTACATCAACACAGTGATGGATTGGGGCAGAGCAGGTGTGAGATTCTACCAGTTCGCACCTATTTTCTAGAACCGGTTGTTAACATTCAAGCAGTTTGGGGAACCGGTTGTTAGAAAAAAATACTGGCCTAATCCTGTAAGGAAGGCAGGAAGGAAACATTCTGGGGTTGCTTACAGAAACTGCCTCTCCGTTAACCCTTATTACATTTTTGGCAGGACTAGACTTCCTGTCTCTGGAACTTCTCTGGAGTTTTTTCCCCTCCTTTGCTGGTACTTTGCTTGTGTGGAGTGACCATTCAAAGTTACAATGGCACTGAAAAAAGTGACTTATGACCATTTTTCACACTTACGACTGTTGCAGCATCCCCACAGTCATGAGAGGGCAGGCGAGGAGATGCATGCCTCGATGTGAGTGATATTGAGTTGGCCACGCCCAACCAATAACATGACCACCAAGCCACGTCCACCAGTCACATGACCACCAAGCGACACCCACCAACTAAGCCATGCCCACAGAATTGGTTGTTGAACCCCACCCCTGATTATACTGAATAATGTTGAGTTCTACCAACCTAAGAGAGAGGAAAAACTGTATTGGTGGATGGTCACATTATCATCCCCCACATAAAGTCTTGAGCTAAAAATGTTCTGTTACAGATACATAAACAAAATGTTGGAGACACTGAGAAGTTTAAATTATGACATTGGATAGAGAAAGATGATATTCACCCTAAGTATTAATGCTGAGTTTTCTCTTGCTCTGTAGCTTCACTAAATTTAACCTCTATTACCCATCAGCCCTCATTCTTATTCTGTGGGGAAACAAATGGCACATCTAGTTGCTGAAGTGGAGTGATTAAAGAGTTGAACTAGGGAGACCTGAGGTCAGATCCTCAATTAACCATGATCTGCTTTCTTGGTGGAGTGACCATTCAAAGTTACAATGGCACTGAAAAAATGACTTATGACCATTTTTCACACTTACGACTGTTGCAGTATCCCCACAGTCATGAAAGGCCAGGCAAGGAGATGCGTGCCTCAATGTGAGTGATATTGAGTTGGCCACGCCCAGCCAATAACATGACCACCAAGCCATGTCCATCCAGTCACATGACCACCAAGCCATGCCCACCACCTAAGCCACACCCACAGAACCGGTTGTTAAAATTTTTGAATCCCACCCCTGGGGCACAGCAAATTGGGATTTTAACTTCAAGGTTAGGTTTAGGGTTAGGGTTCTGTTGCATTTAACTTATTAATAACAAACCAAAACATTCATTCAGGGAAGTTAATTTAACTGAATATCTATTTGGAACATCAAGTTATTGCAATCAATTGCAATCTATTAAGAACATCAAGCTACTATTGAAATGTTTTACTAATAGAAACTCATTAGCAATATCGGGTAGACTATTTTTCCAGATGAATCTTGCAGTTTAATTTTTGCTATTCATTGATGAGGAATTAACAATTAAAGGACTTTTTAATAGTAAACCCGAAATCTCTGTCAGGTATTCATGCCCTGCGCTACTCAAGATTTCATTTCTTAACATTAAGGTGCCCAAATATCTCTTCCAGCCTCCGAAATAATATGGGCAGGCAAATTGTCAGCCTTACCAGTTAGGCTTGACAGGAAACACAACTAGCTGAGCAACTACTACTTTATTGTAAGGCTACACTGGCAGAATCTTGCAAGAATGAAAATATAAATCTCCCACTTTCTTCTTTAAAGCCTGAGAAGCTGAGAACAATTCTTTCAGAAACTCATTCTCTGCCATCATGCAGCTGTGGGCTGTGCCATCTGATCGTTCCTTAAGTAGCACTTATTTCTTTATTCCTTCTCTCAATGTCTTTCTTGCAATTAAGAGTTATAACTTAAGAAACACGTTGTAGAATAAATACAAAATATATAAATAAAGATGGCATCTATTTGGTTATTTCCCTGTTCTATCACTTAAAGATCATTTACGGATCCTTAGCATGATCACGTGTATCATAATGAATCATATTCACCAATTAAGGCTGGTATTTCCTGATTACAAAGTTAGTAGTTTTAAACAATAGGACAATTTCCAACCAAATGTCTTCCAAAAGGGGTATTTTTGCATGGAATGTGAAAGTCCCCCCCCCCAATTCCATCTAAAAGATATCCTACTCAGAGATGGTATTCAGCAGGTTCTGACCAGATCTGAAGAACCGGTAGTGGAAGTCTTGAGTAGTTCAGAGAACTGGCAAGTACTGGCCCCGCCTCCATCTATTCTCCGCCTCCCATTGAGTCCCAGCTAATCAGCTGGGTCTTCTTTTGTTGCCCTATGCAGGAGAACGGAGCTGGAAAGCAGGTTAGTGGGTTGGGGAAGGCATGGAGATTTTGCAGTATCCTTTCCCTGCCACGCCCACCAAGCCATGCCCACAGAACCGGTAGTAAAAAAAATTTGAATCCCACCACTGATCATCCTACATTTTTGTCACCCTGTCGAGTCCTTCCTAGATGTTGTTTAATAATATTTAAAGGTATTGTAACAAAATCTAAGCTGTTCCGAGTAAAACTGCCTTTTGCAATTAACTGATGGTAATTTTGTGAATGCCAATGGCGTTCAAGTGGCGCTCAGAATGTCTTGGGATTGTAACGTGCCTATTAGGACTGGTATTGTTTTTGCTTTCTTTGGAAACTTCTTATACTTGTATTTGCAGATCTCTCTATTTTGGGATTTTCTCCAGTTTCTTCCAGAGGTGGGTATTGAGCAGATTCTGACCAGTTCTGGAGAACCGGTAGTGGAAATTTTGAGTAGTTCGGAGAACCAGCAAATACCACCTTCTGACTGGCCCCGCCCCCATCTCTTCTCTGCCTCCCATTGAGTCCCAGCTGATTGGCTGGGTCTTCTTTGGTTGCCCAGCACAGAAGAACGGAGCTGGAAAGCAGGTTAGTGGGGTGGGGAGGGAATGGGGATTTTGCAGTATCCTTCCCCTGCCACCTCACCAAGCCACCAGGCTCACAGAATGGGTAGTAAAAAAATTTGAACCCCATCACTGATCCTACTACTGAAAATTACTCCAGGTTCCTTTGTGAAATCCAACAGAGCAGCTGTTACCCTTAAAAGCCAGGCATCCCGAAAGCCAAAAAAAAAAAAAAAAACAATTTAAAAACGTACAACATTGGAAACAAATTTTTATGCCTACCACATTGTTCCAACACTGATATCAATAAACCTTGAATTTATTTCCATCATCCAATCTGGGTGGGGTAACTGAGTCATCCTTTCTCAATGCCTTCAAAGCCATTTATAGACTGTTGTAATGAAGCCACTCAAAAGTTTGGCCCATGCTTTATTCCTTTCACTAAGTAGACGGTTAAAGATTTCTTTTTAAGATGCACTTCATCATCAGCATGCAGGGAGTTGTTGACTTACAACCCTCCATTTAATGACTATTTGAAGTCACAGGGACACTGCAAAAAGTGACTTGCAACTGGTCCTTGTACTTAAGACTGTCACATCACCCCCATGACCAAAATTAGGATGAATTTATGATGCTTACAGCGATCCAGGGATCATGTAATTTTCCCAGCTGGCTTCCAGCAGATAAGGTTCAATATGGGAAGCCGGCTTCACTTAACGACTGCATGATTCATAACAACAACAGTGATTTGTTTAACAACCATGGCAAAAAGGAGTTGTAAAATCAGCTGGGGCTTGCTTAGCAAATTCTGGT